TATACTGATTAATTATATTTGCTTACCTTATTTGTGTAATCTAATTTTCTTGCCTTAATTGTCTTCTCTGTTGAATGCTATATAAACTCCAGTCTGATTTCTTCCAAACACGAACACACTCAGAAAGACACACACACACACACAAAAACTCTTGCTCTCATTCAAACCTTTCTGTTACTTGTGTTTGCTACATTGTCTAGCCGGCTGAAAGCCAAGGCTAGACTATTGGATTCTACATACTTTTAATTTCCTGTTTGCTATTTCTTAACTGGTATATCTCCACTTCTGCCATCATTCAATATGCTACGTAGTTAGATCTATGTGCTTCATGCTTATTGATCTTAATCAGCATGTCTACTTCTATGTAATTAAACCTATGTGCTTCATGTTTATTACTCTTAATCAGCATGTCTACTTCTATGTAATTAGACCTATGTGCTTCATGTTCATGGATCTTAACCAGCATGCCTACTTTCATGAAATTAGACCTATGTGCTTCTTGTTTTCAACATGTCTGCCTTTATGTAATTAGACCTATGTCTATTTGTTTCTCAACTAGCATGATTTCTGTCCTGTTTTAAGTGTTCACCTTTAACAAACTCCTCATTAATTCATGATTTCTATGCTCTCAACTTCTGCTACCTTTCTGTATGATTGTCTGATCGGTAACTTGACCCCGGCATGTTGTTCTCTGATTAATATATGCCTATATTGTTCACCTCGTAATAGCTAATGGATTAGGGCCATGTGAAACCTTGTTCAAATTAATTGTCACTCTGTTTTGCCTGTTGTTTGATTGTTGGAGTTCATGGCTGAACTACTTCTGATAAATGTGTTCTACTTGTGGTTCTTGTAATGTGGTAATCTGTTCTTATGCACTTCTGAAATCCAAACTCTTTTCTTTACTAAAACTGCTTCCTACTTTTATACTATTTTCAACTCCTACTCATAGTTAACTAGGGTCCTGCCACCCCCAGTGTGAGCACTGCTTAGGGTCCATGAGACTCCTCTGAACTCTGACACATTGGGGTTGGTTTCCAATCCTTTATGAACTGTGTGTTGAACATCTGATTCTGGTGTGAGCACTGCCCGGGGTCCTTGAGGCCCTTGGGAACTTTGACACACCAAGAACCAACTTTATGTGTTATGGATGGACTACCACTATGCTAAGAGGTGCTATGTTTGGAGGCTTGGTTCCAAGTTGATGTTGTGCCTATGAAGGCTCTCTATAGTATAGTGATTATCATTATGTAATTCATTTATATTGGTCTGTATAAAACATTCTTGTAAAAACAGATATCGGGGTTATTAGTAAAAGCTGGGAGTGATTTTTATATATCTCTGTTGGAATTGGGTAGAGAACATGCCTATAGGACTTGATTATGTATTACTGTTTTGACTCTGTGATGCACCTCTACATATTAGAAATCCTGTTATAGAGCTTTACGTTTATTTCTGCACATTAGACATCCTGTTTATAGGACTTGCACGTATTTTTTCAATCCAGTGTGCAATAGCAACCATGTCTATAGGCTATTGACTGTTAGAATAACCCTTTTCCCTCTCAATGCGCTCCAAGAATTCTGCCTATGCAAGAATAATAGAGATCCTGCTTATAGGAACTGAAGTCATATAGATACCATGCCTATAGGGTTTCAAAATTAATTTCTGCATTTAGATACCATGCCTATAGGATCCTGCCGGTTATCTCCTAGGCAAGCCTGTAGGATAATTAAAACTCTGAAGTTGCAAAAATTGTGTTTGACTGCTTATAAACTGCCCAAATTCAGGAAGTAATAAAATCAGTAGGCAAACTGATTAGGTGTTTACTGCCTCGCCTTAACGAAACTGCTACATATTTTGATCATCTAGATATCCTGCTGTAGGACTTTAAATCGTTTGAAACTGTTTGTTTGAGGCGTGCATTTGTTTTGTCTATTTGTGGAGGTAAATATGAGCCCCCCTTAATGCATCTTTACATGATAGTCCTATTTGGCTTTTTGTTTGTCGCTTAGTTTTCTCCTTTTAAAACAACATAGGTGAGTCTAGAACTTCCTTAAATAGAGGTCCTAAACACCTCCAGGGCCACAGGCAAGGGACGGGTAGCGCACGCATAGGATACGTATTCGATGCTGTTAGAACGCTTAGGAAATAATTAAGGGGAGGGTAATTGGGTAGTAAAGGAAATGATGACATGTGCGCTAATGCTATGTGTAGTACTCCAACTTGGGGACGATTACCAAGTATTGTACAGAAGTGATCCTATAGGCTAATAAACCTAGGACCCCCTTTACCCTCGTTTAAATAATCTCTATTTGTTTAAATTACTTTATTTGCTTATAAGACTAGTTCACCTAATTCGAGTTTGGCCGGGACCCACGTTGTGGACCTTGAGGAGTGCTTAACACCTTCCCCATCAAGGTTATTTCGAGCCCTTACCCAATCTGTGGTAATGCAAACCGGTTAATGAGTTATTTTCTTTTTGTGCCCTAATGCACTTAAATCCATTAGGTGACAACTCTTCAAAATCCCATACCCCTTCCCAAAAGGAAATGAGTTGTCCCAAGTCGAAACACGGACTCCGCGAGGAAAAAGGGGGCGCGACAACGGCAGCTCTGACGTATGGCTGGTGTCTTTCACGGTTGGGGCGTGGGCCTGCATGGTCCCTTCTTTTTTTTTATCAATCCACTAGGCAGTGCCAGGGCTAGTTTTTTATATATATAAATCAAAACGAAACAAAACAAATCTAATGTCAGGTGGTCTTGCAAAATGGAAAAAATAAACTATGACTATTACATAGTACCTATTACCAATATTGAGCAAGGAGCTCAACATTGGTATCACATATGAACTGATATGATCTTTGAAGAAAAAATCTAGCCCATGCAGCTTATTAGCCCGTGCGTCCAGCTTCAAATTTCGCATATTGCATATATAGCCTCTTAACCATGTAACCACTGTCCAAATTTTACTTGTATAGCCGCCTTGCATTTGAGTTCTTGCTTCTGCCCAAGTTTCTTGATAGTGTATGCTTGTGTATGCCCTCATGATCCTCCAGATATTGGTCCTCCTGTGTGCACCTTGATAGAAATAACAGTACCTTCCAACACCTGATGCCAAATAAAATGTCCACCCCTTCATAGCTAAGTTGACTTTGCTATCAGTTTTGGGGAGGATTGCATTGATGATTCTTGTTGTCTTTTAGATGTCTTTTATTCTGCAGTCTCCTGTTGCCATATTTTACACATGTTTGGTTCCTTTTTATGCTCAATTTCACTAGACAATGCTGCACGTCGAGCCAGTTCTGAGTGTAAACATGCCCAATTGTGTTGTTTGTGCATCCTCTACCGTGCATTATCTCTTGTTGTCTTATTGAAACCTCTACATAGAAAGATAGATCCCAGCTGATGTACAACTGCAGCACTGACGTTTCTTTCAAGTAATCCACAGCTTTGCCCCTACTATTGCACAGCTGCCAGTGATGCCTCAGATTCCAGCTATCATTTTTCATGCTAGTGCATGCCTCTTTTCCTTCTTCAAGGGGTTGAGCACATAGTGATAATACCACCCATAGAAGTCGTAATAGGAGGCAAGGCATGAGTACACTGACTTTTCCTGCAAAAAAGAACACAAAGTTAGTGAAAATCTCCAGTAGAACCATCTTCTCCTGAAGGAGTTGATGATCCTACTTATGTGATAACTCCTTTGCCCTCTGCTTTATCTCCATTCCTTCCCTTCTTATAATAACTATTGTGCTAGCCTTACACTTCCCCATGAGCACCCATACTACTCTCCTCATTCTCTCTCTTAGCTTACTGCATATCCCACATATTTTCCTGCACCCTAGAACCCATTGCATCTTATTTTTTCTGCATTTTATTCTCTGAAACTCACCCTCTCTTATGTTTCTATGTATTGTAGCTTCTATCCTCTGAACCAAGGGTTGTATATCTGTTACTGCCTGACTCTCTGTAAACCAATAACCCATCCTCCAACCTCCTAACTCCCCTAGAAATGCTTGTCCATCTTTCGTACTTCTCCACACTACTCTAACCATTCTCCCATATTGCCCAATTCTCTCAAATTTTTTGGGCATCCTTGCTTCCCCTTTCTTGCTTGTGAAGACCTTTTTGCTCAAATACACTGCCATCCTAATATGTATCCTCCCATCTCCTGCCCTTAACCAATGAAAGTGCCCAATTCTCTTAGACATTCTGGGCATTTTTCTCATTTTTCCTGTTTGTTTTTTGAACTTCCCAGCTGCTGCACTACTGCATAGTTGTGGTATCCTCCTATTGAACAAAAGGGATTCCTTTCCAACATATATCAGTAGTACCATAAAAGAGCCTACTCCTCTACTTCCAATCTCATAAAGCCCAATTCGCTTAAACATTCTAGGCATTAAATCTCCTGATTCTGTTGAGCTTTGCCAACAACTACTGTTGCTGCATAATGAATTGAGCAGCAGAGTACCCTGCTTTGCATATGCATCTGTGCTTGCCTTTGATTTCCTCTCGATGGGTTGAGTGCAAAACACTAATACCACCACCTGAGAGCCCATCAAGAGGCAAAACATAGATGCTGAACCAAGTCCTGCAAAAAAAAAAACTTGTTAGAGAAAACCAGCATCACCATGTACTCCTCCACAAGGATTTGTACATGATGCTCCTTTACTCCCCTCCACCTTGCCTCCTTACTCCTTAATTCTTTGCTACCCTTACCCTCAAATATGGACATTGGAGTTTATCCTCATTAACAATTCTCCTACCCATTGAGTCCAGTTCCCCAAACTCATGACATTCTATATCTCCATAATCAAGAGCATAGTTGGCAAGATGATCAGCCAACTTATTGCCTTCTCTATAAATGTGAGATACCTCATAGTTAGTATCTTCCATTAGCTGCCTGATCTCCTCTACTTCCTCAGATATACACCAAGGTGGCTCCCATTCCCCAGTAACAATTTTCTTCATTAGCATTGAATCAGTCTGAATACACACCTATGTATACTGCTGTGATCTGCAGAATTGCAGTGCTTCTACCACAGCCACTTTCTCTGCCACAATGTTTGTAGTCTCCTGAATTTCTTTCCCCACTGCCATAACCAAATCACCTTGCTCATCTCTTATACAGTAGCCAATTGAACTTCTCCATGGGTTCCCTCTTGATGCACCATCAGTATTGACTTTTAGCCTTCCTGCACTAGGGAATTCCCATAATACTCTGTCTACTTTCAGCCTAGGCTTGTAGTTCTCCATCATAGTTATCAAATCATGCCACCTATAGGGAACATTGCTTATGCCTGGTTTTCTCACCTTCACTAAAGCTTGCATTGTTGCAGAAACTTGGTAGATCACTCTGCCTGTAGATATTGCATCCCCATATTTCATACTATTCCTCATCTTCCAAAGCTCCCAAACAATACATGAAGGGAGTGCCTGCATGATAGGTTTTAGTCTATGGCACACCTCTGCAGTCCAACACTTGATAATTGCCTGATGTATAGTTAAACCTTGCACTCTGATCCCAGCCCTTGTGAGAAAATGACTCCAGACTATTCTTGCAGTTTCTGAGTTGAAGAACAAGTGCTGCAAAGTTTCTTCACTTGGTTCTGAACAACACCAACACCTTGATGCCATCAAATATCCTATTCTCTTCATAAAGTCATCTAATGACAACTTCCCTTTCCACAACTTCCACATGAAGAAAGATATTTTAAAAGGTAAACCCTTTACCCATATCTTCCTGTATGCATTCCTAAGCTCATCTTTTCTTCTCAAATACTCCCAGGCAGTCTTGACACTAAAGAAACCTCTTGTTTCCAACATCCAGTATGGTACATCAAGCACATTTTGAACTATTGGAGGTTTGATCTTTTCCACAATGTGTACAGCTATATCTTCTTGTAATACCTGAAACAACCTATTCACATTCCATGATCCATCCTCCATAACATCAAATACATTATGCACTGTTTCATCTATCCCAAAGTCTTGTGGAACAATGAAGTATAGGGCACCCAATCCTGTCCAGTTCTCAAACCAAAATAGAGATGATCCCATCTTTGGATGCCACCCTATCTGATGCTCAATAAGCTCCCTACACTCTATTATTTTTCTCCAAATATGTGATCCTCTTCTCCATGGCACAATGACTGAATTTAATTTCTTGCAATACTTTTGACTCATAAATGAGCTCCACAGACTAGGCTTTGTTCTGTAATTCCACCAGATTTTGGAGAACAATGCCTTCGAAACATCATGAAGAGATCTAAAACCAATCCCCCCTTCTTCTACTGGCATACACAAAGTACTCCAAGAAGCCTAGTGCCTGCTTGTACCCCCTATAGAACTACTCCAAAAGAACTGTGCAAAAATTTTGTGCAGCTTGTTGATAACAGAGTTTGGAGGATTGACAGCTGACAGCAGATGCATTGGCATGCTCTGCAACACATGGGATATCAAAATAGCTCTGCCACCTATGGACAATAACTTCCCTTTCCATGATTGAAACTTGTCCATTATCTTGGTAATTAGCCCTTGATAGTAGTCCAATTTCCTTCTGGAATAGAAGATGGGACAGCCTAAATACATAATAGGGAACTCCTGCCTTTTAATCCCAGTGATCATTTCCACTTTTTGAGCCACTTCCAAGTCAGTTAAGTGATGAAGATAAACTGCAGATTTGGATTTATTCACTAACTTACCTGATGATGCCTCATATGCAGTCAGCACTTCCATGATCAACTGAAGAGAAGTAGCATCAGATGAGGAGAATATGATTGTGTCATCAACATATGCTAGGTGGTTAATCTTTGGACTCCATTTAGGCATACCATATCCACAGACATATAGGTTTTGTTGCAGTGCATTAAGTCCCCTAATGCTTCTGCAGCTAGAATAAATAAGGTAGGAGATAGAGGATCTCCTTGTTTCACTCCCCTTGATGACTTGAAAAATCCATAAGCTTGTCCATTGATAAGAACAGAGTACCAGTTATTTGAGACAATTCCAAACACCATGCCAATAAACCTTTCTGAAAATCCTATCTTTCTGAGAACCTTAGTTAAAAATAACCAGGATAATTTGTCATAGGCTTTGGTCATATCCAACTTTATGACCACATTTGGCCCTGCCTTGGTTCTAAGTCTGATGTCAGTTATGATTTCCTGAGTGAGAAGAATGTTCTCCACAATGCTCCTTCCTTTCACAAATCCTGCTTGTTCCTCAGAGATCAATGTTGACAGCAACTCCACAATTCTCTCATGAATCACCCTTGACACTACCTTGTTGCTGAAATTACTGAGACTTATAGGCCTCAGATCAGAGAATTTAACCACTTCCTTTTTCTTTAGTAGTAAAACAAGATTGGTATGAGTCACACACTTAGGCAGCTCATGTCCATTGAAGAAGGCTCTCACCATATCATATAGATCATCCCCTATTATATCCCAGCAGCTTTGGTAAAATTTACCTGTAAAACCATCTAGACCCCCTGCACTATCTCCATTTAGACCAAACACTGCCCTTTTAACCTCCTCCTTTGTTGGCTGTGATATCAATAGTGAGTTCTGCTCCTCATCAAGCAATGTTGGGACATGGTTTATGATCTCAAAGGAAGTTGGAGGTGCAGTTTCCTTGAACTGATCTTCATAGAACTTAACTGCTTCCATTGCAATCTCCTCATCTTGTTCAATCCAGTTCCCCTCATTATTCTGTATTCTATTTAGCTGCAGCCTCTTTCTTCTACCTCTAACTTGAGCATGAAAGAGTTTGGTGTTCCTATCTCCATCCTTGAACCAATTCATTCCAGATTTCTGCCTCCAGAACTTTTCTCCCAATGCTAGTACTTTGATCAATTCTGCCTGCACTTTTTGGAGTCTCTCTCTGTTCATAACTGTGGGGTTTGCTTCAAATTCTGTTTCATGCACCATTACAACTTCTTCTAGGCTGGCTAACTTTTGAAAGATGTCACCAAAAGTTTCCCTACTCCAAACTGACAAAGCCTTTTTCACTTTCTTTAGTTTGTGATTGAATAATGTGAAAGGGTTGGCATGGAAGTCTGCACTCCAATTCTTCTTCACATCTTCTTTAAAAGAATCATGCTCCACCCAGAAGTTCAGAAATCTGAAGGGTTTCCTTATTGGAGGGGCTTCAATGTCACACTTCAATTGCATTGGACTGTGATCTGACCCTGTCTTGGACAGGTGTGTTACCTCTAATCCTGGAAAAGCTTCTTGGAATTCTGCTCTTCCATTCCACCAGGTGGAGATACTTCCTTTGAATCCAAGATCTGACAGGTTGCATGTGGTTACACAGTGTCTAAAATCATCTATATCATTGAGAGATACAGGAAGACCTCCAAATTTTTCCTCTTCATCCCAAATGACATTAAAGTCCCCTCCAACTAACCATGAAACAGTCATATTAGTAGCCATAGCATACATAGAATCCCATAATTCTATTCTCTCAATTGAGTCACACTTAGCATAAACCAGTGTTAACACAAACTCAACATGAGATTCTGTATGAAACAATCTAAGAGTCAGCTGCTGAACCATATTGTACATTATAGTCACCTCAAAAACTTCATCCATAAATGCCCATATCTTGTTTGATACATTTGACTGTGCAAAGCCAATTTCCTCCTGTACCTCTCCAATTTTTTTGCTTGTTGTTTAGGTTCCATCAAACCAATGAATTCATAATGGTTTTGCCTGTGCATTTTGATCAATCTTTCAAAAGCTTCTTGTGTGTTTACAGATCTAATATTCCATATAAGTGCATCCATCACTGGTTACTAGATTTCATCAAAGTTCTCCTTGTTTGGACCCCAACAACAGGAACAGTGCTGGTGTCTTTCTGCTGCTTTTTTCTACCTTTTGCTGCAGACTTGACCTTCTCAATGTGCCTAGGTGATAAGTCTCCTTGCCTTGCCACAGTTAAAAAGTTCTGAGTAGTTGATTCCTGGTCCATGTCTTTGCCTGAATTATCATTTTCATCATATGGATCCCTTGCATCAGTTTCTCCCATAATGGTCATATTACCTGCATTTTGAAACTTTGGTATCACAGCATGCTCTCCTCCTCTCTTTAGCAACTTCAGCTGTGATGATTTCAATGGAACAGTAACCATTTGTGCTTTATTAGGAGTAGCCTCTATCATCTGCTTAGAAATATTAACCTCCTCAGTTCCTCCTGGATCTACTGCCTCACCACCTCTTCCAGCTGACTCCCCATGACTTGGTCCATCATTGCTATTAGCCTCTTGAGTGTCATTAGCTATTTCCTGATCAATTGGCACCTCATTACCCTTATCCAAATTGGTAGCATTGGACTTGTCAGTTATGGCAATGGGGTGATCATTTATACTTTGCTCTTCCTCTTCTTGTTCCTCTACAACTGGTTCCTCATCAACTTTTGCCCCTTCAGGTACCTCATCTGCTTCTGAGTCTTCTTCCCTTTGATCAGACCACAATCTGCCTCCTCTCCATTGAACTCTTTCCTGCACAGTGGGGAATTTTGTTCCATTTGGTTGAAATGGGGGAGATTTAGCCAATTCCTTATCTATCACTGTATCTTGAGAGGGAATGTCCTGGTATGATGTATTAATTCCCACTGGTCCCTCACCTGTCTTTGCATTGAATATTCTTTCTACCCATTGTGTTGTGGATTCTTTACTCTTAGGTATTTCCTTGGCCTTACCTTTAGGAGATGTATTCAGTCGATCATTAGTAGAGCCAATCCCAGATGAATTTGGATTAAAAGCTGGAGCTGCAGGGTTCAAATTTCCTGTATGTTTTTGCCTTTCACCTTGGTTCCCATTACCTGGAGTTTTAGGAGTAGCACTAGCTTAAACCAGTGCCAGCTGATTACCAGGCTCATCTTCCTCATCATCAACCTCTAGGACTGCAAATTTGTTAGCTACTTGCACCTGCTTGCTTGTCTCATTGCCCACCGGACTTAACTGCTTTTCAACACCCCTTTGTTCACTTGTTTTTTGCCCTGTATTCCCATCTTTGTTGACACCATTAGCTAACTGATCACCACTCTGCTGAACTAATACTATTTCTTTTCCAGTTTTGCCTTGATCTGCATTTGGATTCACCCCATTCTTAACTCTATGGTCCCTAACATCCTTCCATTGTTCCTTTGTATTCCCATGTTAATTACCCACCACTTTGCCACTCGATAAGATCATCAAAGGCTGGACACTAGCATTGGTCTGTACCTTAGCATTTGCAGCTTGATTGGAATTCTCTTTTTCCACATACAACTCTGGATGCAATCTACAACATTCAAAATGATTATGTCCTTGTAACTTACACTCCTTACAATACTTAGGAAACATGTCATATTTGATATTAACCCATTCAATCCGTGTCTCTCCAGATGATTCATTAACGATATCCATCCTTACCTTCTTTGGATGATCAGCTAATAAATCCACAAGCACTTTGACCCTAGCACAACTAGGTCGAGTTTTATTAACAGTGGCCATATCAAGATGAATTGGTTTCCCAACAGCTGAAGCGAGTGAGAACAGGCATTCCTTCACAAAATACGTAGGTAGCAAACCTGGGAAAGAAATCCACGCCATAGCCATTGGAGTCTCTTCTCCTGCTTTGAAGTTAACATCATATATGAGTGGACGCAACTGATATTCTTGACCAAACTTGTCCTTAACATACTGAGCTCCCTTCGACGTGAAATCTACAAATTCTTGCCATAGTGTCATGCGTATAAGAACATGCCTATCCCTCAAGTATCCAATGCTGCATTCTCCCTTTATTCCACATTGAGATGGAACAATGCGACGAATCTCATTAAGTTCTGGCCATCCATACGCAAACTTTGCAACCACAGCATATTGGAGACCTTCGATCACATTCATTCTCTCCACTTCTGCCTCCGTAAACTTCACAACTGGTTGCCCATTCACAATTGCTGCTCTTCTCAATGGTATGGGATCAACTGTAGATTGACGTTCATGCATGGCAGCATTGATTGTGCTAGGTTTTAGAATTTTAGAGTAATCTAAAGGTTGGGAATTTTTGTTTGTGG